GCAGGCATGGAGACCATTACACTTTTGACTTCACTCCACAACTTCACACAAAGCACACTGCTCTTCCTTTGGGCATGCTGTCTGACCTCCTAGGCCTTCTTCTGAAATATGGATGGGAGACTCCATGACCCTGTAGCTCTCACATTCTGCATGCCTGTAAAACCAGTACCACATGGATGACACCAAGGTCTGCTGTAGGCTCCAGCAGTACACAGGCCCTTTTGCATCATGGCCACATGGGCCTCTGAGTGTCCTGGATGGTTGAGCACTGTGGACAGAATCCCAAGAAGCCTAGGCAATGCTCTTGAGCAGGGTTCCCTGGGGCTCCCTTCTCAGCCTTTTGCTATTCTACCCTTCAGTCTACAAAAAGAAAAGTCTTTTAAATTCCTCCCATGCCCTCAAGGCATTCTTTGTTGGCTTCTTTTTAATGCTAATGTTTTCAGAAACCCAGCTCTCCTCTGTTCCATCTTTGCAGGCCCCATTTCCTCTCTGACCAAACTCAAAATTTTCAGAATCATTTGGCTGTGCCATTTGCTCTTGATTCTCAATGTAGAGCTATTTAAAAGATGCCAATGGTACACATGCCACAGCCTCAACATTAGGCTGCCTTGAAATTTGCTCCACCAGATGAATCTCCACCACCCTTAATTTCAGTCCCCTGCAAAGTTTCAGAACATGAACAAAAATGAAGACAAAATTTCTTCCATAGCATAACACACATGGCTTGGGTCCAACTGCTAATGGAATTCTTCTTCCCAACTCAAACCTCCTGAGCCTGGCCTTTACCATCTGACTTTATCATCATTCTGGTCTTCTGAGCTCTGACAAGAATCTCCCATCAAGTTCAGCTTACAGTATTGCAGGGCTTCTTTAGATAGCATTTCCAAACTTTTCCAAACTCCTGTGAACTATTTCCAAAGCTTCTGAACCACATGATCATTCATGTAGCATCACAGTAATGACCCCACTACTGGTACCAAAATCTACCTTAGTTATTTACCTCATAGCTGGGACATAATACCCAATGCCCACAACTTAAAGAAGGAGGTGTTTATTTTTGGCTCACAGTTTTTAGAGGTTTCAGTACATAGTCGGCCAGCTCCAAGGCAGAACAGCATGGTGGAAGGGCATGGGGAAAGGAAAGTTGCTCATGGCACCCAGGAAGCAGAGAGACTGAAGAGAGGACCTAAGAAGGGAGATAAAACCTTCCAGGTCACACTTTTAGTGACACACTTCTTCCCACCAGACCATACCTCCTGACAGCAAGTCAGCTATAAGCCCCCGTGATCCAATCACCTTCCCAAAGCCCAGCTTAGGAGCACATGAGGTGCTAGATATAAACCATAACAGGATTTGAACCTATATTCTTTTGGGAAGGACACAATCTAACTCATAATGCAGGGTGAAAAATAGTGAAGTTTCCCAGAAAAAAAACTGGCCCCAAGTGGAGATACTCCCAGCCTTTGGATGAAAAATAAAAGGTCAGCTATGATGGGTCAGGAACACTCTCCCTGACTTTGCTTCCATCTTCATTTGGAGAGCCAAGGTCCTCAGAAATTTCTGATTCTCTTTGCTGACAACCAAGTACCAAAACCAGGTGCTAGATGACGACTACAGGCCATTTTAACTTAACAACTGGTTTTGTAACTAGCATCAACATCTGAGTATTTGACAACCTATACCCATTCTCCCTCTTTTCTCTGCCTCCCTACTTCCCTTTCTCTCTTTATTTCATTCTTTCTTTTGAATATCTATTATGGGGAAGGATTGGAGTTACTAAAATGCCACAGAAACTGTCCCAAAAGAGCTTGGTCTCCAGAGGCACAGACTACATCTCCCTAGTAGCCAAGTGGGTTTTTTCTTTCCCAGACAGGAATCAATTTGGCAGACACTGGGTGCCCTGTACCCAGCACAACTCTGAGTACCTGAGTGTTCAGTAGCATGATCTTCCTAGTGTTCTCAAGGAACAATAGAATGATTGTACATGCCTCAAGAAGTGCAAGTCTCATGTATGAGAAGCCACAAGGGAAGGGCGTTTCAGGTACCCACGTTTCCAATGGGACCCAAAATCTGTTTCTACTGCTGGGCAAGGTAATGGAGCACACTGTCCTCTGGTCAGGTGGAATGTTGTGATGCTCTTTCTGTTGATTTGTTGGCATGCTGACTTCTCTTCAGATGGCTCTTGAGGCTGCTGGATGTTCCAGGAGGACAGACATAGCATTGTGGCATGGAGCAGCCTTGTCCTAATGAGTCTTTGGTGAGGGGTAATGATCCTGGGCAGACCCACTTGCCCGTCCTGCCCAGCATGCACCAGGCCCAGTACAAAACCCACCAGGAGGAAGCTGTGTCAGGTTGCTGCCTCCTTCCTTCTAATTTTGCTTACAGCTGACCTACTTATACTCATCCTGCCCCTGTCATTACTGATGTGGAACAGGGCCAAGGGGGATGCCAATGTGCAAACTGGCCCAGGGCAGCAGGCCCCTGGACATGAGGATTTAGCAGAAGGGCAGCAAGATATCACCTGTCAAAAGATGCAGTGTCAAAGGCACAGGTGTGCACATGGGAAGGACAAACAGATGGGGGGTTCTCAGGATATCCATGGGGCCAGCACCAGATGGGCACCACCCTCCCCATCCACAAAAGATGGCCCCACAGCCCACCAGCCTGGCAGAGGCAGGAGACCATGACTGCTCAAAGCAAATTCGACCCTGTTCTGGGGAAATAGGCCCCAGTGCTGTGGCAGCATCCTTGGCTAGTGACAGTGCCTGCGGCACAGGACAGTCCAGAGCCTGCTGAGGTCCATACCCACTTTCCCGGAGGACCTGCCTGCTTTGGGCTCCCATCTCTCATTCTAGAGGTAATGCATATGATAACAAGGGGATGAGCAGGCCGTTGGCACAAGACAGGACAGCAGATGGGCACCACACCCACTCTGCCATGCAGTAGGCATGCAGACACAAATGGAACAAGTGGATGAGTTCATTTGTTCAAACCTTTTCAACAGCATTGCAACTGGATTAGCAGCAGACCCTCCGTCTGGGCACCAGAATAGGACAAGTGGAAGGCGCTGCCCCTCCACCTTAGGGTTGTAGTCTGCAGGTACACCATTCAGATGCCACCAAACTGGAGTGGCTGCTGTGCCAGCTCTCCAGGGAATAGGGTGTGGGCAGGCTTGACTTGACAGGCAGAGTAAGAAATGACATTCTGGCCAAAGTCTGAGGGTGAATGAGAATCAACTGCAGCAATTTAAAAACTTGCCCAGAGAAGACGGAAAAACGGGAGGACAAATTCTAATACCGATAAATTCCTCCTGAGAATGTCCTGCAAGATCCTCACTCCACATCATGCACCTGGAATTGAGAATGTGCACAGCATGGGACAGCAGCACTGTTAGTCAAAGGGTCATTGAGAAATTTTAAAAAAATCATCTCTAAGAGGAGGCAGCAGTGAGGAGCTGATGCTCACACACTGTGCTGACATTTCCACTTGACCATGACCCCAAGTTTAGCTGGGGACCGCCATCTGCATGGCACTCTCTCAGGACATTCATTCTTTCCAGATCAAACTGAGGGACAGAGGGAAAGTGATGTTTACCAAGAGCTCATCTTGTGCCAGGGACCATTAAGAGTTTTCATATCTTCCTTAAGAAATTCAGGTGTGAATCTAGGGACACCGACAGAAAATCCAGAACCCCGTTAGGCACCAGGACTCGGATCTACCCTAAGCCCCCTCTCCTTCTCTCTTGCCATGTTGGGCCTGCATTCAGGGTCAACACAGAACCTCTCTCATGGCTGCCTTACTGCCCACAGTCCCCCTCAGGATGGCGCACCGAGGCCAGATCTTAACCTGTTTCATTTTATAGTATCAGCTCGAAGGCACCATCTGCTATGGAGTTGAGAATCTGAAACTCGGGACTTAACATTCTTCACGTCTATTCTAATGTGTGAAATGAGTAGAAAAGGCAAGCTTAGATTTAAAATGATCCTTTATGAGACGGAGGGTGGGGCAAGGGGTGGTGGTGATGGGGTGAAAGGATTAAAGATTCCTCCTTCTCACACTCCTTTTCACCAAGATGCAGGCAGTGACCATGGTTCCAGGGAGGAGTGGGGCCAGGCCACCAAATGATTCGATATTGTCCAGTGGAGTCTTTCAAACTTGCCCAAAACACTCCTTCGGTAAGACCACAGGTGACTTTGCAGACCAGCTGCGTAGAGCTGCCCTTGATTGGATGCTGAGTTTCTGTTCACTCAGCCTTGCCCATGCAGCTGAAGTGGCAATCTCTTGTGAATCACAACCCAGTCCTTAATGAAATGGCATAATTCAATTATTTGCTCAAAGACAAGTTCCAGGAGAGTTTTAACCTCCACAACAGGTCTTTATAAACGTCTTGCTGTTGGAGCCACCAGGAGTGGGCAACGTAAAGGGAACGTGTGCAGCCCACTCGCTCCAAGTCCCTGCCCACCCAGGGTGAATACCATGTTGTCAATGTGCAGACCAGAGCCAGGGTGTGGCTCAGGGGTGAGTGCTTGCCCGGCAGCATTCACCAGGCCCAGGCGTCCATTCCCAGAACCACAAAAGAAAAAAGGTGTTGTGAATGTGTAGGAACCTCTTGGATGGGATGTTATAAAATGTATAGGCTACGGACAATGTAAAGCCTTTCGCTGTAGCATTTTAATGCTCTTTATACAGCTGTGTCGAGCACAGCAGTGTTCTGGGAATGCACGTGGCTGCTTGTCAGGGACACCCACAGCAGGAGTGACCCCTGTGGAAAGGGGAGACAGAGAAACAGGAGCCGAGTCTAATCACAGGCCTAGTAGGCAAGGCGTCCCTCAGTTCCACTTAGCTTCCCCCACACAGAGAGCGTAAACTGTGCTACCCACAGGTCCTGTAGAAATTCCAGCGAACCTGAAGAACTACAACATATTTTTCCATGACAAATTCTAACATCCTATGCAGAGGATACCAACACCCCTGCCCTTTTAAAAAGAAAAACCCGTAAGTACAACAACTGGTTTTGAACCTTTAATAAAGTAAAAAATGAATGCAAAAAAAACCACAAAGTTGAAAACTTGGTATGAATGTGAATCTCGCTAGATGTTCAAATCTGGTATAGTGCAAATTTTGCTTACACTATTTTACATTTTTACAAACTCAAATCACTTTGGTTCAATGTATCTGCTATAAACTATTGGCAAAGAGAAATTTCTCAGAGTCACATTTTTTTGGCCACATTTTTCTAACAGATACAGACTTATTTCCAGTTTAAGAGAAAAAAACATATTGTTTGTGCATGATCAAGTATATCTGAAAGATTCACGTACTGCTTTCAACTAGCAACCTCTGGTTTTCATAAAAGGCCAACATTTTCACTGAAAAATGCTTTCACATAACTGATCATTTGTTTTCATTTTCAGAAAACTTGTGAAGGATCACCCGAAAGTTCAGGACAATTCATTTGCTTTTAAACAAAATTCCTCTAAAACAAATTAGCTTCAGAAACCTAAAATTCACTCCAAGACATTTCCTCAAAATGAAATCAACAAAGCCCCCACCCCCGCCAAGGAAACCGCAGATGTCAGCGCTGGCAGCTGGGCACTCCTCATCCCTGTCCTGCTGCCCGGGACTTCTGCTTCAAAGGAGTCTTTGCATCCATTTACAATGAACCAGAAACCAGAAACATTTAAGTTGCAAAATACAAAAAGGTAAATTTGTAAGTAAAAATGACTAAACCCACAAAACTGGAGTATGTCAAAGGACTGGGCTCAGTGGAGGGTCTGACGGTGGAGGGACTTTGAGACTAAGAAGTATTGCTGAACTGCCTCCCTGCGGCACTGAAATGAATGGAGAACCCTTCTCTGGAGCATCTCAGACAATAAAAAAAATAAATATTTAAGAGGATACAAGGCTCAGATTGGTTTTCATGTACATTGCACTTGAAGTTTAAGACCCAATACTTGCAAATTAGGTCCGACATGGTCTATGCCATTAAATGAATACACTGTGCTCACCACTATCGTCGAATGTTTAGAAACATCACGCGGGCAATGCAGTGACATACGCACTCTTCTTTTTACACGGCAATCACAGATTGCAAGTTCCATAGGGCTGTGGAAAAAATAGTCCTCTCTACTCTGGAGTCACAGAGAAACAATTTTGGTTCACTGACACTAAAATACATGGCAGACAGTTAAACACTCTTAGATGATTAGATTTTGGATAAAACGTCACAAACTGAGGTCAACGTTTCATGATCAGTGTAGGATTATGACTTCTCACTGCTTCTTCCTCTCCTAAGATTGTCTACACAAAGCATCACAGGCAGAACGCAAAGCTTGGCCTGCTCCCCATGACACACACGTGTGCGTGACTGCAGGGGTGAGCACTGTGCCACAGCAGCAAGTGTGACCATGAGCTTCTACAACGTGATCCCCTTGGAGTGCCACCTCCCTTCACTCACTGCTGCTCCTGTTTTGTTTTGCTTTTTTCACACAACCCTATTTTAAAAATCTTTTGGATAAATATTCCTATTACACCATACTTCATCTTTGTTAAGCACCATCAACCTATTTCCTTTGGGCACTAGTACAAACTGAGAGTTGGTAATTAAGTTTTAGTTCAAGGCTTTAAATATGGCAACTTGTTTTTAATAAAAGGAATGTGATCTAATACTTGGGAAACTGCCCCTGATGGCTGCCCACACAGCCTGGGACAGGGCGCTCCAGGGCACGGGGAGGTGCCACGTGCTCAGTCATGGTAAGACTTCAAGGTAAGCACTGTCTCCACTTTGCTATTCTAGACATTTCTAGGTGGACATTTCTTCCGGAGTCATGTGTACAGTCAGCCCAATCTAAATAGAGTATTTAGGAGAAAGATCGATTATCTTCATCACAACCCACTGTCTCAGAGTTTCTTCACAAATCTGGTTTCTTATTCCTCAGAATCAGTGGGTTTGAAAGCTCAGTCACTATGGGGCTTTTCAGGAACACCCTATATGGACAAAGGAAAAAGAAGCAAAATTAGGACTAAGTGTATACACATTTTAAATGTCAAGAAGTAGGTCCTAAAAGGCTTCGGGAAGATTAAAATTCCTGGGAGTGGAAAAAATGACTGAGACAGAGGAGGAGCATGGAGCCCTGAGGCCTGAGAGCAGCTCACCAGCTGGCTGGCATGGTCTCCCACCTCGAAGGAGCGGCAGCCCCTGTGTGAAGGAGCCTCACCACACGGTCCCAGCAGTGACACGTGTGGCAGGACAGGAACCCGAAAGCTCTGACTAGTGCAGCTGCCAGCTGCCTGGGTATGTGAAGGAGGAGGTCTCTGGCCCACTTCTCACCTCCAGCAATAGGCTGGCACAGAAGGCTGGGTGTTCCCAACCACACTTTCTGTCCCTTCCCCTGTGACCCTCACAGGAGCCTGAATGCTAAGTCGAGTCTCAGTGCAGGACCAAGAAGACCCAAGAGGCTAAACTGCCTCCCCCGGGGCTTGAGGCCACACAGCTGCTATGAAAGGTGCTCCCTTCCCTAGCCCAGCATCCTCCTGCACACCATTTCCTCCACCAGGGCAGTCAGCTTGCGGCGAGCATGCCAAATGCTAGGGGTATCACCAAGAAAACCGAAGGCTACCCTGTCTGAATAGACAAGTCTTGGCAGTTGCCAGGCACTCTGGAATGCTGATGGCACCCAGGAAGAACTCCTGGGATACACACTCACTTGTAAAGATCAGCAGCATTAAACATGAACATGAGGAAGGCTCACACACACGTCAGCAGGACAGAGCAAGGTGAGCACATTCTGCCAGTTACCTGGAAACAAACTGCCCATCAAAGTTCACTACCTGTGCCCTATGCATGGATAACAAGGAGAAGGGAGAGTGTTAGAGCCCACAGGCCTCAGTACACTACAATTAGGTCTGCACTGTATAAGAACACAACTGGCCCCATGATGAGATGGCCACTGACAGACTTCTGTGACCTGTTTGGAGGTTGAATGATAGGCAAGAGCTGTGTGCAAGGGGACTAAGGTATGCTAAAGGCAAGAGTGGTCTAAATTGCACCTGCCTGGGCAAGCCGTTTGATCCTCCCCATCTAAAATGGCCTAACAATAGTTTCTACCTCAAAGTGCCATGGTACAAGGGCTCCAAAGTGAACAGTGAAGGCTTAGCACCATGTCCCCGTGTACAGCAGCAAGGGCTCAATCAATGTGAATCTGCAATAGCAAGAATACGGCTGTTATTGATGGTGGCCGAGCTGGGTCAATTGACCACAGCAGAGCCAAACCGAGCCACCGACAGGGAGGCAGCCTCTGCTGCCAGGGATCCTGCGGGGCAGCAACAGCATGCAGGCACACACCTGATTGCTGTCAGCAGCCTGAAGCTGACTCTCGAGAAAACGCTTTAGGGTGCAAACAGCAACAGCTTCGAATTCTATCAATGACAGCGGAGGCCTGTTACTTTCTTTTCATCACACAAGTGGATGACAACTGCCTTGGCTGTGTTTCTGGACACAAAGAACACCAAGCAAAGAGAACAAGAGCACTTCGTGGAAGAAACGCCGAGACCACCGAACTGTCAGCAAAGTTAGCTTGAGTGCTGCGGAGGGGACAGCTGTCCTTGAAGGAGTCCCTGCTTCTCACAGCGGGGTACTGTAGGTGGGACCACGGGAAAACGCAGAAGGGAACAGGAGCAGGAGGCCAGTGGGTGCTAATAAGAATTCAGCACTCACTTGGGCTTCCAGAATGGGCTTCATCTAATGTCTCTGGACATTGAGAACCTGTGCATATTGTGAGGTCTCTGCCTCTGCTCAGATAATTACTATATCTCCTAAAGCTGACCTGAAAGCCTCCATCAAGAATGAACAACAGCATCAATACATCAACCCAAAAATATAACCAACTCTTCTAATCCTTTTCATATTTTAATTGTATGACTAGCTAACCTGGTTGAGGTTAGCTGTACTCCAAAAGTCTTCACAGAAATTTTCTGCCAAAGAGAACATTCAAAAATCTTAAAAGCAGCCTGCCACAGTGACATATACTGCTACTCAGGAGGTAAGGCAGAAGGATCACAAGTTGAGAGCAGCCTAGGCACCTTAGCAAAACCCTGTCTCAGAATAAGAAAGGATACACTGTAGCTCAGTGGTAGAGCGAGCCTGAGTTTTATCTTCAGTACAAACCAGTAACATATACACACACTCAAAGCAACAGACAACTCCAGAGTTCCTTAGCTCTCTCTGAGACTGAATAAGGTATGCTACAAGGGGACGTGACTGAATGTGTGGAGAAGAAGCACACTACTTTGAGACTCTTTGACCGTATAGATTTTTAACATTAAAAAAAAAAGCAAAATCCTTTGACTCTCCACTAGGGGACACGAGAAACAATTCTTTCAATAGAGATTCTCATTTTGGCAGCAGATCCGTAAGGAATTAACAAGAGCAGATGAGAAAGACGCTTGAGACTCAGAAACTGGTGGAACACTTTACCAATTCTAGTCTTTGGAAATGACTTCTATTTTCGAGACACACCCAAGGGGCCTTCGAATTCAACTCCTGGTGAACGGTATCAGCTGGCACAAGTAAATGTACAGCTTTAAAAATAGCATGAAGTACCAAGATAAGTTTCTGAGGAAGCTGGGAGCTTATCTCTAGAGTAAAGGCTCTAGTTTTCTTTTTCAGTTCATTTTACTTCAGCTCTTCAAACTCATCTGGAAATAACATTTATATGTTCGTATTTGCTTTTTAAAATTGAAGTGCTCAAATGTCCATTTCTGCCTACTAACATTGATAACTAACATTGCCCTTTTTTTCTTACACCCCTCCACTCCTCAGCAAGTAGCTGTGTCCTGGGAGGTGGCACTCCTTCCTCTCTCCTCTAAGCAGCTGAGCCTTGTGCTGCCATGCTAAGGACAACCCTTTCCTGCACAAATGGCCATGTGTCCTCAGAAGGGCACCGCTTGCTGACCCATGCTGTCCCCTGGCTCAAAGCTGAAAGGCTGGGTCTCCCCAGCATCCTCTGTATCCATGCAACAGAAGCTGGGAGCAAAGTGCCATTTCACTAGGTCATCTGGGTTTGTTTTTGACACTGAGAGGGGATGGGAAGTTTGTGACAAGCAATTAGCTTCAGGTGCTCAGTAGCTGCAAACTCAGAGAAGCCAGGGGACACATCTGTAGGCCAGGGTTGCACTAGAACCCTAGTTGCTTTGTTGCACAGACTGAATTTAGAAATCTATCAATCTTTATAATTTAGTAAACAATCAGCTGAGTATTGTTACCTCTCACTACATGCCTTTCTCAGTTCTGTTTGCTGTTCTGTCTGAACCAGAAACGTCAATGCAGATTACAGTGAGCACCTGAGGTAGTTCTGTCAGGATAAACCACCAGACAGGGGAGGGTGTGCAGTGGTCATTTTACTTACCATAGCTAACTGTCGCCCTATGTTTCCCACTGTGACACCTCCTGAGAAAAATATGCATGGGAGCCATGAACGAATATAGAGGAAATCAGGGGATGTATACCTAGAGGGAAAAGGAAAGGAAAAAAGCTTTAGTCAATTTCACCAATGCAATTCTGGGCCAAAGATTTTCTGTTACGGGGTCTACAAGATGCTAAGCAATCACAAACAGCTTGAAAATGTCAATATTTGAATGACATGTTTTACTACTACCATTTGGTTTTCCCTGCGAGTGGAGAATAAGGAGTTTGAGAGTTTTATGCCTCCATCAGTCATTGGGCACAAAAGCCAACAGTATCTGAAGGCGTGCACTTACTGATAGACACCGTTATACACAAGGAACTGGGTGATGAGTGTCGCCAGGAAGGCAATGGTAATCCCCAGCCCAAGGCCGCTTCTGGAGCGATCAAATGTCCACCAAAGGCCCAAGGACAGGGCTGCCAAGGTCAAGGACAGCTGGACATTATTGGCAAAATCCAATTTCTGGTGATGCAGAAGTTAAAGAAAAGCTCAATAATTTTTCATAGGATCAAAAACATTAAAACTACAGGAACCCCTCACAGGTGTTCATCAGTACACCCCAAACCTTACCCATGAGAGCTGTGCAGGGAGCTGGCCTGGCTTTCCTGGGGTCACCATGTCAAAAGTAGAACTGTAAGGGCAGATTCCTGTAAAGTTACACATAAAACTCTTCTGGGGTTCTAGCCATAAAGCAATATATTTTGCTATGAAGTCACTGTTCTTTCCCTTTTTTCTTTTTGGTAACTTAAAAGTGAGCAAACAGTCCCTTTGAGTCTGTGATGACATCCAGTGAGAATGGTACCCCAGGACAGGACACTTAGAGCTGTCGCTACAAACAGCTCAACTGATGACAAAACTAATTTGTCAGAGCTATCATCTATTAAAATGGGAAAGCAGACTGAAGGATCCAGATCTCTTAAGAATATCTTCCCTTCACCTTAGTACAGTTAGCAACAACTGCGCTGAAGAAGTCACTCCTTCGCCTCCATTTAATTCTAAACAGCACCCTATAGTTATTCCTACTTTCATTGTCCTAAGAGGCAGAAAATTAAAAGCTCAGGAGATTGCTGATAATCTAGGTGAGAAAGTGTCCTATCTCCTAGCTTGACCTTTGGCAGCTTGATATGTACTACCTGTCTTAAATATAATTAAGATCAGAGTGAATTCTGGGACAAGCATGTGTGTTGAGCCCCCATGATGACTCAGCACCTGTCAACCACACCTAGACATTCAGTGGGAGGCACCTAAAGCTGAGGTGCATATCCTTCAAATCCCAAGTTTGATTTATCTGTGCTTTTTTGTCAGTCTGTTGCCGATACTACTTTGTGTGCTTTGACCTGAGTGCAGTGCTTTTCTGTCACCCAGCACCTTTTTCTGTCTATGCCTTATCTTATGGGAGCATGGACTTGACCTGAGCCCAATTTCCTGTGATCTTCATAAATGGAGTGGCTCACTACTTACTACTGGGTGCAACTTGGCAATTCTTTCCTTGTCGTACACAAGAGCCTGGGTTATATTGGCCCATTCTCCTGCAACGACCTTGTTCTAAAGAAAACCTAAACCTTTTAACCCATGGACCAATTCTTAAAAAGGTACCATGTACAAAGTCAAAGCATACTACATAGGAGTTCTACCCACAGATGCCAGAAGTTCCAGGCCTTCAATGACCGACCCTTGGAGGTGCTCTCCCAAAATGTGACAACAACAGTGTCTCTTGCCAGTCCATTCTGCCATAGGAGCCACCACATCCTCAGCCTAGGAGAACAGGAAGAAGACAGATCAAATGGAATTAATGAGAAGAACTCTTAGGAGCCAAAAGACAACTGAGAAAAGAGAGCACTGGGAATCCAGGTTACCTCTGGCCCTCTTTCAGCAGCTTCCCCAAAATGCAAAGGGACACTAGCAACTATACCCTAAGACTCCTGCCGGGTGTCAGGCAGATGATATACTCTGAAGACATGGGTGAGCTACAACTCCAGATGCTCAACAGAAGTCATTCAGTGCTCCCCCATGCAACCTATGGGACATTCTGGATATAGCACATCAAGTCAAGGATACAGCACTGGCATGGTTAATGCCAACAAAAACTGCGATACAGCGCATGACGCTTGCCCACTCTCTCTTGAACTTGTGGGGCTCTCCCAGGTGACTGTCGATACAGGGGTACAGTAAGCCGACAACAGCTGTTTAAAGAAAAAAATATCACTGTTAAAATACACCAACTGAAAGCCATAGTTTTCACATTCAAGTTCATTAACGGCCATCATTAATACTCAAACCAGTCCCACAGAGGTGCACTGGTCATACCTCCTAAGGGGCTGTAGCTGTCACTCTGGGAGACATGGAGTACTGCTGGTGTTCACCCTGTGGACAAGGTAACCCTGCGCTGTTCCCTCTTGTTCTGGAGCTGGTCCCTGTGTGCAAGCCCCGTGCCTGGAAAGGGCATAGGCCCAGGAAGAGGAAACTGAGCCACTAGTCCCAGGGTGCCCAGTGTGGACGTGGCGCCTGGTGTTCATTTTCTCATGTGTGACATGAAGAGGATTATGTAACTGGAGTACAGAGAAGGAAGAGATCCCATGGTCTGCACGGTCAGGAAATCACAGATGCGGAATCCTAAAGACCATTCAAACAGTGGGAAGGCAGGCTTTCCAAGAGAGAAGTACAGCGGCTAACCAGGTGGTCTGGGATCCAAATGGGACACAAGGTTCTCGTGTAAAGTGCACCCAGAGGAGCTCAAGCCAGGCCATGGCTTTACTTTATCTGGCAGGAGAGAGGCAGAGATTCAGGTTTTTTACCAGTGAACAGAGATGAAAGGTTGGTCATGCACTAAGGTAAGGAGAGGAGAAATTGTGGAACATTCCTGGAATTCATTCAAGTTCCAGTTACAAATACTTCATTTTGCAGGGGCTGGGGATTTAGCTCAGTGGTACCTCCGCCTACCTCGAAAGTGCAAGGTCGTGAGTTCGATCCCCGGTACCAAAAAACATAAACAAATACTTCATTTTGGAGATGAAGTTTTTGGCTCAAAGAAATAAACTATGGTATCAAATGTGTTTGAAAAATGCAATTTCAAATCCAGATCCACTTTTCAAAAAGAACTCATTAATACAACCATGTCCTTAAAGGGAAAGGGTTCAGAGAAAAAGGAGGGTCCCATCTTTCTGAGAACAAAGATGAGAAGTTTCTGCCCCACCTCAGTAATTATAGTACTCTGCCTGGCTGGAGCACATTGTGCCGTTACTGCTGGAGCAGCCTTCCAGCAAGGAGACAATGCAAAGTTGGCAGCAGCAGCTCTGCACTCACCACTGTGGAAGCTGGAATACTGCACGGTACACTTAACCTCTGTGCCTTAGTCTCCACATCTATAAAATGGAGCTAGAGTATAGCTGTAAAGGGGCAAACCAAACAAAGTGTATAAAACATGGAAGCAGCCAGTAAAAGTAAGCCACAGAGCATACAGGTGCTTGTCCTGCTCAGTTTTAAGTTTCAAGTGCTCCTGGAGTGGAGGCTGCAGAAAGCACCTGACAAGTGTTCGTTAAATGAACAGATACTAGGTCACTAGGGTATTGAGCAATGTGCTGGGCCACAACCACACAAGGTTTTTATAACCCAGCTAAATTACAATCAAGAAATTCTATTAAAAAAACACAGCAATACAGTTTATTTATTCCTTGTTGAGCTCTGGGGCATCTCTGGGACAGGTCAGGTGAGCTGGAAGCTGCCTTCTCATAAGGGGCCCCTGCTCCCATCCTTCACCCAGGAGTTGTGCCCTGAGGGGGTGGTGACTGGCTGAGAGCCACTGAAGGAAGTGCTGACAAGTTGCTGCCCTGGCAACCATCTCTCACACACGTGATGGTTTGTTGTCAGTTACCCGAAGGGTAGCATGTTGGTGCTTGCAGCCAATGGCGCGGGGCCCTGCTCTCACCAGTTCTGCAGGTGGCCAATCTCTGGCCACAGGCGCTGGGTGACAGCTGCGCCTCTGTCACCCGGACGCTAGAGGGACCGGACTCGTTAGCCTGGCCCAGGTTTGCTCAAACAGCCAATTATCTCCGACCTCATCTCCATCCCTGCTCCTCAAACTTCAGGGCTGCTGCGGCCAGCGCAGGCTCCCCACCCTCCCAGCCAGTCCTTCTCTAAACACAGACACCGGGTGATGCCAGCTGTCACCTGGGACGGCCTCTTTGCAAACGCACCCCGCTCCTGGGCTGGGAGAGGGCTGGCAGGGGATGTAGCTTCCCGGTTCCTGCGCAGGGCACTCACCAGCGGCCGTCCCGCAGCACGGTGGCACCCACCAGGCCGAGGAGAAGATGGTGGCGATCACTTCGTCCGGGAAGAGAGTGACATTCCTCTGGATCTGCAGCAGGTTGAGCACCAGGGCCAGGACGACTCCGACCGAGAAGAGCACAAGGCTCCTCTGCACCAGGTCGTGGTGCCCGCTGCTGGCCCGCGGGCCCCGGGGCGCGGGGCTGGAGTCCGTGGCCCTGAGGCCAGAGGGCGCGGGGGCGGCCAGCATGCCTAGCCGCGGGGCGGCACTGGCTCGTAGGGGGCTGGGGCGCCGCACGGCGCAGGGACAGCTCCAGAAGTGGTCGTGCAGCCTGGGCATCAGTGCGCGCCGCGCTGAAGGTCCTGCGGGCAGCAGAGAAGTAGCGCCAAGCTCGCCTCAGCTGGACCCAGCCGGGATACCCGCCCTAGCCCCAGCGCCCGCGTACCTGCTAAGGGGCGCCCGCCCGCGGCCAGAGAGCGAGCGAGCGGGCGAGCGAGCGAGCGGGCGAGCGAGCGAGCGGGCGGGCGGGCGGGCGGAGGCGGGGCAGCGGCGGAGACCCGAGGAAGAGGAGGAGGAAGAGGCGGTGCACCCGGCCGCGGCGCTGGACGATCGCTCCACTTATATGGCGGGCCGTGGCCCCGCACCACGTGACCCAGCCCGGCCTACCCGCCGCTCGCGCGCACCGCCCAGGGGCGTGACCCAGCCTAGCTCCGCCCCACCCGCGCGCCCGTCCGCACTGGGTCTGGTGAGGCTTCCATAGCCAATGGGAGACGGGCGGCCGATTTGACGTGAGCACACGCCACCGCGGCGCGCGCCGGCACGCGTCCGGCGGGAGCGCGCAGAGCCTCGCGGCGCAGGAGGCTGGGATACGAGGGCGGAAGTCGGACGCAGGGTTGAATTCGGACGCAGGGTTGAATTCGAACGCAGGGTTGAATTCGAAAGTGGCTTGAATTCGAGGAGCCGCCCCGACCGGGCACTTCGTGAGGCCCCACGCGCGCTGGCGAAGGCTTTGTGACATCACCTTATCGCGAGGCGCGGCGATGCACGTTAGAGGGTGCTCCTGTCTAACGGCTCCGCGCCTCTCCGCACGCTGAGCCGGCGAGCCCTGGGAACCACTCGAGGAAATGACCCCGAGCACGGGTGCTGGCCCGCAGACGTCCCTGCGCTGCGTGTGTCACGTCCTGCCCAAGGACATCTGCCCGTCTGGAGCGATCTGGAAGGACCGCACCCGGGCGAATGGTCTCCACGGGGCTGAGCAGAAAGACCTCAGACTGTCACCGTGTCAGGTTCCCCCGCTCTGTGCCAAAAGGAAGAACACCAGAAAACATAGAGTGACATCTTCCTGAGCTGTCAATGTTTCTTAAAGTTCACGGGGCCACGAGGGAGTATCACCTGTCCCTTTTCCTGAGCATGACCCAGCAGGAGGTGGATCGTCACTGTGCCTCTGTCCCTTTCGCTGTGTGCAGGACAGGCAGGCGTCCTGCTCTGCACACTTTCCCTGAGCCCTGCCAGCCGCTATGGACTTGTGCCTCCGAGGAATACTGTGTCAGGACCCTGGCATTACCGATCTCCCTCCTGTGTAAGTGCAGATTGTATACACACACGTGTGCCTGGAAATGAGCACAGTGTGCCTTGACAAAGTTACACTGGAAATAGAAATGTAAGAAGCTGCCCAGCTGCCCAGTTTCCCAAATGGTAGGAAACTGGTTAAATGGAGACAGGGCTCTGCAGTGGGATGCTATGTAACTAAGAGCTGTTCCTTTATAATCATGACCATGAGCCACAAGTCCCATTGACACTTGTGAGAAACTGATAGAAATCACGAAGTTGCCTACATTACAGACTTGACCCTTGATCAGGAAATGCCCCCCAAATACAGGGAGTGTTTTGAGCATGTGGACTGGTGGCTGGTTTATCCAGGTGTGTGAAGGGCAGTAAGTTGAGGCAGGAGTTTCCAGTGGACCTGTCGGGCTGTCAAGTGCAGGCTCCAGCATCTCAGAGATCAGCACATCTGTCTTGTGGGATAGAAGGTGTATATGGGATCCCCTTTTTTCATGGCTTCTGGCTTGGCCATACAGACAACCCCAGTACTTCTCTCTGTTGTACCATCTCATGTGTGCAGGTGTGTAGCTTATAGCAGACTTTATGGACTTGTGTGTTCCTGTTTGGTGTGGAAAGGGGTATCAAATCATCTAGCTCATTGCTCTGTTAAGAACTATTTGAGAAAAAAAAAAAAGAACTATTTGCTTTGCTACTTTTCCTACCCAGGCATGATCAATACAGTACAGCCCAGCCCAGCCCCTCCAGCTCTGCGGCTTTCTCCTTCTCTTCATGGAGACCACAGAAGCTCTGGAACCTTCCCAGAGGTGCAGAGATACCAGCTGCTCCAGGACACAGGCCAGGATGCCCAGTGGGAATGTGGAGGTCCACGTATGGCTGGTTCTGTGAGTCCCTTGGAGGACTGTCCTGGGCTCTTAGTCTTAGGTCAGCCCCTTGAGTTCAGTATTTGGGGAAACGTGTTCAGGGTGGTTTCCTTTAGTTCTGGATCAGGCCACTTTATGTTAATCATTACAGGTGGGTTATTAACTCAGAAACATGCACTTTGTGATGACAAAGAACTTGGCTGTCCCTTCTCCTAAATCACTAGCGAGCAGGCTGATGAGATAGCACGGAGACCTCCACACCTTCTCTAGGTACAGAGTTGTCAGGGGCCCACAGGCTTTGAGCTATCTTGTAGTAAACAAGCCACTTGCCTCCCATCTGTTCTCCTGTCACTGTTTCTACTGTAACATTAATAATGCTTTATAATAACTATTCTTTTTTTTAATAATAACTGTTCTTAAAATAGACCTGATAACAATATACAAAGTCTGCCAAAAAATGAATACACACTTCAGGAAAAGAAAAACTTGCATAAATATTTTTATACTACATTCATTGAGACATCATGAGATTAATACAAGTCACCTTTGGCCTCTACAATTGCAAGATGTTCTCAGAGTGGTGGCCATTGGCTTCCAGACATTTATTAGCACCACCAACTCCTGCTTGCGTAACCTTGGTCACTGAGATTTCTGCTCGTGCATTTTCAATGTCCTCTCTAAGGGCCGGCAGTGTAGTGGTTTCTGTGATATACAGCATCCTCTAGGGTCCCCCATAAGAGGGTAGCACCATCTGCTGAAAAAACATCATATAATTTTTCTTTTTCCTGAAGTGTGTATGCATTTTTTGGTGGACTTTGTATTTATTTTCTAAATATAAAAGTATCACATGTTCATGAATCATTTAGGAAATATGGAAAACCATGTTTTTAAAAAACCATCTATAGTCCCACCACCTAGAGGTAGATACTGTTGACACTTGGGGTATGTGTTTCTAGGTGTTTTCCCAAGGCATAAATGTGCTAGTTTTGTGTTTTAAATACGCTCTCACTTCATGGGTAATGGAACCAGTTCTCAAGGGCGCACAAACATCTGAGCCATCAGTATAGCAGACGCTATTGTCGGTGGTAACTTTATTGGAACCTGATTTATACGCCATGCAGTTCACCCACGGAGGTGTGCAGCCGCCACGCTAACCCAGTCCCCTCCACACCCAGCCCCTGGCAGCCACTAACCTACTTTCTGACTCTGTAAGTTTCCTGTTCTGGACTCTGATGGGAATGGAATCACAGAGTATGCAGTCTTTTATGATTGGCTTTTAACATGTTTTCAAGACTCCTCCGTGTTGCTGTGTGTTCATACTCTGTTCCTTTCTTATGGGCAAATAGTATTCCATTGTGTGGTTATACCACATTTTGTTTGTACATCTACCAGTTGATGGACACTTGGGTTGTTTTTACCCTTTCACTATTATGAATAATGGTGCTGTGAATGTGTGCACAAGTTCTGGATATGTTGTCACTTCTTTTGGGTGGGATGATAGGGTGTGGAGTTGCTGGGTCCTGTGGAAACCCTATGTGTGATTATCTGAGGGGCTGGAGCAAAGCAGGTGTACTGTTTTATAGTCCCTCCAGCAGTGTACTAGTTGGCTTTTTGGTTCTGCCCGTCCTGGGAGGTGTGATCATGCCATCACTGTTAGCAGCATAGCAGCCCTGTATACTGGGCATCTTCACTTCCTCACTAAGAGGGCCGAGGTGGAGGAGAGGAGGAGAAACTGGTGCCCCCTGGACGGCCCTGGGTGAGCGCCAGACAGGCTGCAAGGGCCCTGGGTGGAAGGTCCACCGAGGTAGGGAGAAGAATGTGGACCAAATCCCTGAGGGGCAGGGGGTGCTCCAGGAAGAAGCTATCCCCAGTGACCTGGAGATGAAGATCAAGTCATGTCCTGGACTTGGTGTTGTGGGCTCAGGGAACCTTAGTGTGAGGGCTGGGGGCAAAAGCCACACGAGCAGCAGACAGGAGGATGATTCCACAAGTGTGGACAGCCCTAGAAGGGGTTAGCTGTGACCAGAAGGGAGATGCCCGAGGCTAGGAGAATCTGTGTGGAGGAAGTTCTGTTTTTAAAATGGCCAAGACTGAATGACTTCAAATGCTGATGGGAGATTAGGGAGAAAGCAGGGGGCTGAGGAAAGAAGAGGGAGCAGGTGTATGTGGTGGAGACAGTGACATCCCTGGAGCTGGGGAGCTGGGTGGGTCAGACCCCGGGAGAGGAAGGGGTGTGGGGCGCTGGGTTGAGAGGGGGCTTGAGGCTCCATTGTTCCCAGGACTGTGCCTAGGAAGCAGGTCCCTGGGGCCAGGAGCCTGCAAGGTGGCAGGGCTGGTCTTCTGTACCACTGTCCAGCCTGGGAGGAAAGGCTGGCAGGCAAGGACCTCCAGAACCGGCTTGCTTCCTGCTGGCATAAAAGGACAATGGCAGAAGGGGTGCGGGATTGTGGCTGGTGGCTGAGGGGCAAGGAGGGGCCAACACCCTGCCCGGAGGTGACACCGTGGACACGGGGCTTGGGCTCTCAGGGGTCAGGGACCAGGGTTTTATTCACCGTGGAAGGGCATAATTACAAAACTTAGTTGAACAACCTCATTTGGCTTGTATTGCTGTTCTAGGATTAGGTAATGCTCCATTCCATAAAACAACAGCTGCTCTGGTGGGATGAGCAGGAGAGTTGGGTCTGTCCAGACTGAAGGGCTGGAAAAGCAGAATGAAAACAGATCATCCTCCAAATGGCTTTCCTTGGAAGGGGACAGAGAGGGACAGCAGTGAGAAGACAGCTGCCTGGTTCACATCAGATGGCTTTAGGGTGCTTTGACTTAGGGTTAAAGGGTACAGGGCTAAGGCAGGGAACTTCGCTGAGTTTAGGGACCTGTTTGGGAAACTTGGCTCGTGATTTCTAAGAAGGTCTGATAAGGAGTTAGTTTCACTTTGGTAACGTGGGACTCTGCAGGGTGAGTCGGCTGTGATCTGCCTGGTGGGGCCCCTGGTGCAGAACGGCAGTAGCTATGGTTTTGCTGCATTCTGAGTTCACCCCACACCCACTAAGTTCCTGAGGGGTAGGACCACGGTTTGGAGAAGAGTGGGCACCACAGGAGGTGGTGAAGTCTACCAAGTGTCAAGGAGGTATGCTAGGAGCCGTGGAGCACATCCCAGGAGGGCCGGGAGCAGGGCAGGCAGGGGTGAGTCACATGAGCAGAGGGCAACAGGGCAGAGGCTGGCGGCATGTTTGAGAAATGGAGCGGCTGTGTGCCACGTGGGGCCTCAGGGATGAAGACGGCCCCTGGGTGTCCTGGTCACATTCCTCATTGCTGGGATGGAATACCTGACACGTGCAGCTGAAAGGAGGAGAGGTTTATTCTGGTTCACAGCTCAGAAGTTTCAGTCTGTAGTCAGTGGCTCAGTCACAGAGGTGATGTGGCAGAAGGCCCGGCACAGGGAAGCCACTCACCAGTTAGACCAGTGATGGCGAACCTTTTAGAGCTTTCAATAAACAGCCCACTGTAGCATGCATGCCGTAGGTTCACCACCACTGAGTTTGATGGAGGGCAACAACACCCTGAGGGGGGCTTCCCCACACTTAACTGAATGTAC